TCTGAACTTGTCCTTGTCAAAGGTCACCAGACGCTTCCCCTGACATGACCCACCTGGGCAGAGCGTGAAGGTTTGTGGGGTGGAGGGATGTACTGTGTGTGGATGAAGAAGTATTAGACGGAAGGCGTGTGCAGGCCGGAAATGTTCGTTTCTGAATTATTCGTTCATGGAAGAACTTCATTTCGTCATACTCGAAAGGACCAATTCGGTTGTGGAATTCGTTTCGTATCTTCGACATTTGTACTGCATATTTGGAATAAAGCGGCAGGCAGCCCTGCCGCATCCCTAACAACCATCAAGTAAAAAAAAAAAAAAAACAGAGTGAGGGTCCCTCCCCAATCCCTACTTGGCCTTTTAGGTCTGGTGTGGATTTTGAGGGGAACCCCAAGCCAAAATTTAAAAAAAAATGGCGTGGGGTTCCCCCCCCCCAAAATCCATACCAGACCCTTATCCAAGCAAGCAGCCCAGCAGGCCAGGAAAGGGAGGGGAGGGGAATGGGTACCCCCCCCCTGAACATTTGATGTAAGGGGGCACTCTGATGGGGACATTTGATGTAAGGGGGCACTCTGATGGGGATATTTGATGTTAGGGGGCACTCTGATAGGGACATTTGATGTAAGGGGGCACTCTGATGGGGACATTAGATGAAAGGGGGCACCCTGATGGGAACATGTGATAAAGGGGGCACTCTGATGGGGACATATGTAAGGGGGCACTCTGATGGGGACATGTGATGTAAGGGGGCACTCTGATGGGGACAATTTATGTAAGGGGGCGCTCTGATGGGGACATTTGATGTAAGGGGGCACTCTGATGGGAACATGTGATGTAAGGGGGCACTCTGATGGGAACATTTGATATAAGGGGGCACTCTGATGGGGACATGTGATGTAAGGGGGCACTCTGATGGGGACAATTGATGTAAGGGGGCGCTCTGATGGGGACATTTGATGTAAGGGGGTGCTGATGGGGACATTTGATGTAAGGGGCACTCTGATGGGGACATTTGATGAAAGGGGGCACTCTGATGGGGACATTAGATGAAAGGGGGCACCCTGATGGGGACATTTGCTGTAAGGGGGCACTCTGATGGGGACATTTGATAGAAGGGGGCGCTCTGATGGGGACATTTGATGTAAGGGGGCGCTCTGATGGGGATATTTGATGTAAGGGGGCGCTCTGATGGGGACATTTGATGTAAGGGGGCACTCTGATGGGACATTTGATGTAAGGGGGCACTCTGATGGGGACATTAGGGGGCACTCTGATGGGGGGCACTCTGATGGGAACATTTGATATAAGGGGGCACTCTGATGGGAACATTTGATGTAAGGGGCATTCTGATGGGAACATTTGATATAAGGGGGCACTCTGATGGGGACATGTGATGTAAGGGGGCACTCTGATGGGGACAATTGATGTAAGGGGGCACTCTGATGGGGACATTTGATGTAAGGGGGTGCTCTGATGGGGACATTAGATGAAAGGGGGCACCCTGATGGGGACATTTGATGTAAGGGGCACTCTGATGGGGACATTTGATGTAAGGGGGCACTCTGATGGGGACATTTGATGTAAGGGGGGGACACTCTGATGGGGACATTTGATGTAAGGGGGCGCTCTGATGGGGACATTTGATGTAAGGGGGCACTCTGATGGGGACATTTGATGTAAGGGGGCACTCTGATTGGGCAGTTGATGTAAGGGGCATTCTGAAGGGCCAGTTGGTTGGCTACACCAACCAATCTCCCACTGGTGCCCTGATGGGAATGTTTCTCTTTGCCGCCAGGAATATGGCCGCACTCATACCTACAGCGTTTAGACCTCTCTCAACCCCCGACCAGGTGCCCACCTATTAGATTCAAAGTGCGGTTTCCGATACTCCCACCAATTTGGTAAATATCACTTTAGCCGTAATGGAAAACACAGCCGGCAAAGTATTTTCAACCTCCCGACTGCTTTTCATATTTTCACCGCCGCGCTACAGAGGAACAAACAAAATGAATTATTAGGTCTGGTGTGGATTTTGAGGGGAACCCCATGCCAAAATTAAAAAAAAAAAAAATGGCGTGGGGTTCCCCCCCAAAAAAAATCCATACCAGACCCTTATCCAAGCATGCAGCCCAGCAGGCCAGGAAAGGGAGGGGAGGGGAATGGGTACCCCCCCCTCTGAACATTTGATGTAAGGGGGCACTCTGATGGGGACATTTGATGTAAGGGGGCACTCAGATGGGGACATTTGATGTAAGGGGGCACTCAGATGGGGACATTTGATGTAAGGGGGCGCTCTGATGGGGACATTTGATGTAAGGGGGCACTCTGATGGGGAACATTTGCTGTAAGGGGGTGCACTCTGATGGGGACATTTGATGTAGGGGGCGCTCTGATGGGGACATTTGATGTGAAGGGGCGCTCTCTGATGGGGACATTTGATGTAAGGGGGCACTCTGATGGGGACATTTGATGTAAGGGGGCACTCTGATGGGGACATTTGATGTAAGGGGCACTCTGATGGAGACATTTGCTATGAGGGGGCACTCTGATGGGGACATTTGATAGAAGGGGGCACTCTGATGAGGACATTTGATAGAAGGGGGGCACTCTGATGGGGACATTTGATGTAAGGGGGCACTTTGATTGGGACATTTGATGTAGGGGGGGGCACTACAGATGATGGGACATTTGATGTAAGGGGGCACTCTGATGGGGACATTTGATGTAAGGGGGCACTCTGATGGGGACATTTGATGTAAGGGGGCACTCTGATGGGGACATTTGATGTAAGGGGGCACTCTGATGGGGACATTTGATGTAAGGGGGCACTCTGATGGGGACATTTGATGTAAGGGGGCACTCTGATGGGGACATTTGATGTAAGGGGGCGCTCTGATGGGGACATTTGATGTAAGGGGGCACTCTGATGGGGACATTTGCTGTAAGGGGGGTGCTCTGATGGGGACATTTGATGTAGGGGGCACTCTGATGGGGACATTTGATGTAAGGGGGGGGGCACTCTGATGGGGACATTTGATGTAAGGGGGCACTCTGATGGGGACATTTGATGTAAGGGGGCACTCTGATGGGGACATTTGATGTAAGGGGCACTCTGATGGAGACATTTGATGTATGAGGGGGCACTCTGATGGGGACATTTGATGTAAGGGGGCACTCTGATGAGGACATTTGATAGAAGGGGGCACTCTGATGGGGACATTTGATAGTAAGGGGGCACTTTGATGGGACATTTGATGTAGGGGGGCACACTGATGGGGACATTTGATGTAAGGGGGCACTCTGATGGGGACATTTGATGTAAGGGGGCGCTCTGATGGGGACATTTGATGTAAGGGGGCGCTCTGATGGGGACATTTGATGTAAGGGGGCACTCTGATGGGGACATTTGATGTAAGGGGGCACTCTGATGGGGACATTTGATGTAAGGGGGCACTCTGATGGGGACATTTGATGTAAGGGGGCACTCTGATGGGGACATTTGATGTAAGGGGGCGCTCTGATGGGGACATTTGATGTAAGGGGGCACTCTGATGGGGACATTTGATGTAAGGGGGCACTCTCTGATGGGGACATTTGATGTAAGGGGGCACTCTGATGGGGACATTTGATGTAAGGGGGCACTCTGATGGGGACATTTGATGTAAGGGGGCGCACTCTGATGGGGACATTTGATGTAAGGGGGCACTCTGATGGGGACATTTGATGTAAGGGGGCACTCTGATGGGGACATTTGATGTAAGGGGGCACTCTGATGGGGACATTTGATGTAAGGGGGCACTCTGATGGGGACATTTGATGTAAAGGGGCACTCTGATGGGGACATTTGATGTAAGGGGGCATTCTGATGGGGACATGAATGTAAGGGGGCACTCTGATGGGGCATTTGATGTAAGGGGGCACTCTGATGGGGACAAATTGGGACATGTAAGGGGGCACTCTGATGGGGACATTTGATGTAAGGGGGCACTCTTTATGGGGACATTTGATGTCAGGGGGCACTCTGATGGGGACATTTGATGTAAAGGGGCACTCTGATTGGGCATTTGATGTAAGGGGGGCACTCTGATGGGGACATTTGATGAAAGGGGGCACTCTGATGGGGACATTAGATGAAAGGGGGCACCCTTATGGGGACATTTGATGTCAGGGGGCACTCTGATGGGGACATTTGATGTAAAGGGGGGCTCTGATTGGGCAGTTGATGTAAGGGGCCATTTTGATGGGGCAACTGATGTAAGGGACATTCTGATGGGCCATGCAATGTAAGTGGGCACTCTGCTGGTGCATTTGATAAAAGGGGGCACTCTGATGCACAAAATTGGTGTAAGGGGGCACTCTGATGGGGACAGTTGATGTAAGGGGACATTTTGATGGGGCAACTGATGTAAGGGGCATTCTGAAGGGCCAGTTGGTTGGCTACACCAACCAGTCTTCCACTGGTGCCTCATGGGAATGTTTCTCTTTGCCGCCAGGAATATGGCCGCACTCATACCTACAGCGTTTAGACCTCTCCAACCCCCGACCAGGTGCCCACCTATTAGATTCAAAGTGCGGTTCCCGATACTCCCACCACCATTTGGTAAATATCACTTTAGCCGTAATGGAAAACACAGCCGGCAAAGTATTTTCGACCTCCCGACTGCTTTTCATATTTTCACCCGCCGCGCAACAGAGGAACAAACAAAATGAATTATTACAAAAGAAATCTCGGCCTGGTCAACCCCATTTTTTTTTCGATGCGATTAAACTGATGCGCTCCGCAGCCCGATCTCCTGCCAGGAATTATCGTACAGCTCCGGGTGTATCAAGGGGAAAAAAATGCCGTTCCCACCACCTCTCTAGCTTATTCCTATGGGCATTTTTTTCATCTTTAACTCAAACCACCAGTTCAGAAAGGGCTCAGCTGTGGAGCAGATGAAGAACGGAAAGGGGGGGGGGGGCTTCTCCAGACAAGTGTAATAGTCCTGTATGTGGCTGGGACCCACCTTGCTGCTTCTGCATGGTCGTAAAATCTTCAAAGGTAAGAGTTCGAACGGGTGGCCTCCAGAACGCGTACGTCTCCATGATGGCCTCCAGGCCCGTGCTGCAAATGAGAAGAAGATTAGGTAAATAGGAGACAGGATTCATTCATACAACACTCTATAAAAAGCACAGAGCAGATCAGCTCCTGACGGGCGGTTCAAGAGGCCTCAGACTCTACTAGGTAGACTTCTCATGAGCTCGGGGATGACTGGCAAGGCCTTTGACCAGAACCTTGGAAGACTCTAGATCCAAAAGCACTAGAAGATATAATGGCAACATCTTTGCATCCAGCCTGTCCAGACCGTTACGTGAGGGGTCTCATTCGTGGGACGTGGTGTATTCCCTAATGACTTCACATCAAATTGGTCATCAGGCCTGTGAACACCCCGTTTAAAGGTCACTGTTTGGGTAGCGTACCATGAAACAGTGATGGTGGTGCTGGATCTCATATTACAAACACTCTATCTGGGAAAAAAGAATGGTGTAAATCCTATCAGCCAAGCCGTAAAGCAGCTTTTGAGCACCTATGTAGACCTGCCAAGAGTTTGAGGATGACCGGCAAGGCCGTCTCCTCCAACCAGAACCTTAGAAGACTCTAGATGCCAAATCATTAGAAGATAGTACGGGGCCCCTGTATTCATGGGGCAGCCCAGTCTTTGAAAATCAGAATTCCATGGTGCCATCTCTACGTTCCAAATACCAACCTGCCAAGGCCATCACATGAGGGTCTAATTCAATGTGGTGGATTTTCAATTTATTTCACATCACAATGGTCATTGAGCACCCGTTCAACAGTCACTGTTTGGGTAGTGCACCATGAAATTGTGACTGTGGTGCTGGATCTCATCTTACAAACACTTTATTTATGAAAGAAGAATGGTGTAAATCCTGTTGGCCAAGCCGTAAAGCAACTTCTGAGCACCTATGTAGACCTGCCAAGAGTTTGAGGATGACCATCACGGCTGTCTCCTCCAACCAGAACCTTGAAAACTCTAGATGCCAAATCATTAGAAGATATTATGAGGCCCTGTCTTTACGGGGCAGCCCAATCCTTCCAGATCAGAATTCCATGGTGCCATCTCTACGTTCCAAATACCAACCTGCCTAGACCATCACATGAGGGTCTAATTCAATGTGGTGGATTTTCAATTTATTTCACATCAAAATGGTCGTTCAGCCTGTGAGCACCCGTTCAACAGTCACTGTTTGGGTAGCGCACCATGAAATTGTGACATTGAGCTGGATCTCATCTTACAATTTCATGGTGCGCTACCCAAACAGTGACTGTTGAACGGGTGCTCACAGGCTGAACGACCATTTTGATGTGAAATAAATTGAAAATCCACCACATTGAATTAGACCCTCATGTGATGGCCTTGGCAGGTTGGTATTTGGAACGTAGAGATGGCACCATGGAATTCTGATCTGGAAGGATTGGGCTGCCCCGTGAAGACAGGGCCTCATAATATCTTCTAATGATTTGGCATCTAGAGATTTTCCAAGGTTCTGGTTGGAGGAGACGGCCATTGGACATTACAGTGTAGACTCCTCTGGTACAGAGACTGATGTGACTGTGGGGGAGGGGACATTAGAGCGTAAGCTCCTCTGGTGCAGAGACTGATGTGACTGTGGGGGGGGGGGACATTAGAGCGTAAGACTCCTCTGGTGCAGAGACTGATGGACTGTGGGGGAGGGGACATTAGAGCGTAAGCTCCTCTGGTGCAGAGACTGATGGGACTGTGGGGGAGGGGACATTAGAGCGTAAGCTCCTCTGGTGCAGAGACTGATGGGACTGTGGGGGAGGGGACATTAGAGCGTAAGCTCCTCTGGTGCAGGGACTGATGGGGCTGTGGGGGAGGGGGACATTAGAGCGTAAGCTCCTCTGGTGCAGGGACTGATGGGACTGTGGGGGAGGGGACATTAGAGCGTAAGCTCCTCTGGTGCAGGTACTGATGGGACTGTGGGGGAGGGGTAAGAACGGGTAATTCGCTCCGACTTGCGCCTTTCTCCAGACGTCCTGCGAGGAACGACCTTACATACTTAGGCTGGTGTTGAACACAAATGAAAACCAAATCGCGGCGGTTTGCTGCTCCGTGAATCGCTCTACATTTGGATCCGTTTATACGAAGTTTTGTACTTTTAATAGGTATGAAAAATTCGATGTATCTTTTCATCTTTCTTTCCCCTTGTCTGAGGGCTCCACGTTTTTAATATCGGGCCATAAATCAAACTGCTACAGTGGATGGAAAATGGAACAGCATGTCTCGCATATCTGCGTAATGGGATCCACATGGCCTCTCCTCCGGCCGCCATGTCACCGCTATGAAGACGGGTGAAGCAGGAAACATCTCGGGGAAGGTGAGGGACACCAAGCCGTGGACCAGCCACTGATAGACAATATTAGGACATTGGACAATTCGAGGGGCAGATCTGATGTTCGGCTTCGAAGGTTTACTGGTGAATGAAAATCAAAAAAATGGAAACTGCAGAGACATTGTGTGCCTCAGTCCTTCATCCTCACTATGCAGCGGGTGAGGAGCGCCTTCAACGATGGGTCATACAACTCATATCACGATGGGTCATACAACTCATATGATGAAGGGTCATACAACTCATGTAACGATGGGTCATACAACTCATATCATGATGGGTCATACAACTCATGTAACGATGGGTCATACAACTCATATCACGATGGGTCATACAACTCATATGATGAAGGGTCATACAACTCATATGATGAAGGGTCATACAACTCATGTAACGATGGGTCATACAACTCATATCACGATGGGTCATACAACTCATGTAATTATGGGTCATACAACTCATGTAATGATGGGTCATACAAGTCATGTAACGATGGGTCATACAACTCATGTAACGACGGGTCATACAACTCATAAAATGATGGGTCGTACAACTCATATGACGATGGGTCATACAACTCATGTAATGATGGGTCATACAACTCATATGACGAAGGGTCATACAACCTATATAACGATGGGTCATGCAACTTATATAACGATGGGTCATACAACTTATATGACGATGGGTCATACAACCTATATAACGATAGGTCATACAACTTATATGATGATGGGTCATACAACTTATATGACGATGGGTCATACAACTCATATGACGATGGGTCATACAACCTATGTAACGATGGGTCATACAACTCATATGAGGATGGGTCATACAACTTATATAACGATGGGTCATACAACTTATATATACAATGGGTCATACAACTTATATAACGATGGGTCATACAACCTATATAACGATGGGTCATACAACTCATATGACGATGGGTCATACAACTTATATAACGATGGGTCATACAACTTATATAACGATGGGTCATACAACTTATATAACAATGGGTCATACAACTTATATAACGATGGGTCATACAACTTATATAACGATGGGTCATACAACTTATATAACGATGGGTCATACAACCTATATAACGATGGGTCATACAACTCATATGACGATGGGTCATACAACTTATATAACGATGGGTCATGCAACTCATCTGAGGATGGGTCATACAACTCATATGACGTTGGGTCATACAACTCCTATGACGATGGGTCATACAACTCATATGAGGATGGGTCATACAACTTATATAATGATGGGTCATACAACCTATATAACGATGGGTCATACAACTCATATGACGATGGGTCATACAACCCATATGATGATGGGTCGTACAACCCATGTAACGAAAAAAAAAATACAGACAACACATTTTGGGGGTTACAAAGTTCCCCTTCTTCAGGGCTCAGGAGCTCACGGAGCAGCTGCTGTAGGAACTTTAACAGTCTACATCAGTGCGTCCCAACATCTGGTCTCCATGACAGCAGCAGTCCACGTGTGTGAAGGAGGGGGATTTTGTAACCGCTGAAAAACGTTTGTTATATTTTTCCAGTTATATCGATTAAAGATTGGATTGTGACTGTCTGGTCATAGAACTCATTGTTTGAGGTGCTCTTCCCCACTCTATACGGACGCCACTTTGCCAAAGGTCCACCAGACTGGTCTCTCGAGGGAGCATAAATGAAACCTGGATTGTCCTGCTTCCAAGCCAAAACTTGGGTCACTCTACCAAAGACCATCTGCAGGACATGAGTAGAGGCTCGTCTTCTGCCCTTTTGATCTGGACAAAGTGAGGAGTCCTCTCTTGGGACCTCCTCTGACATTCATCCATTATATGACTCATTGTTTAAGAGGCTCTTCCCCACTCTGAACTGACACCACTTAACTGAAGGTCCACCTCCCAGATTGGTCTTTCAAGGAAGCAAAAATGAAACTTGGAATGCCTTGCTCCTAAGCCTGAACTTGAGTCACTCTCTGGACCCGGAGACCTGGTGCAGGACATCAGTAGACACTACACCGACTCCACAAGTCCAAAAGGAGAATGAAGCCGGCAGCACTCCATAAGATTCAAATGCTGGATTGTCCTGCTTCCAAGCCAGAACTTGGGTCACTCTACCAAAGACCATCTGCAGGACATGAATAGAGGCTCGTCTTCTGCCCTTTTGATCTGGACAAAGTGCAGAGTCCTCTCCTGCAACCTCCTCTGACATGATTCAACCGTTATATGACTCATTGTTTAAGAGGCTCTTCCCCACTCTGAACTGACCCTACTTAGCTGAAGGTCCACCACCTAGATCGGTCTTTTAAGGAAGCAAAAATAAAACCTGGAATGCCTTGCTCCTAAGCCTGAGCTTGAGTTACTCTCTGGACCCGGAGACTTGGTGCAGGACATCAGTAGACACTCCACCGACTGCACAAGTCCAAAAGGAGAAGGAAGCCGGCAGCACTCCATAGGATTCAAATGCTGGATTGTCCTGCTTCCAAGTCAGAACTTGGGTCACTCTACCAAAGACCATCTGCAGGACATCAGTAGAGGCTCGTCTTCTGCCCTTTTGATCTGGACAAAGTGAGGAGTCCTCTCCTGGGACCTCCTCTGACATGATTCATCCATTATAGGGCTCATTGTTTAAGAGGCTCTTCCCCACTCTGAACTGACGC